GGAGAAGGAACTGGTGTTGGAAAAATAAAAACATAGGACAATTTTTATCTTAGAAAAAGGAGAAAAGGGAAAACAGAACCAGTTTTCTATTTGTAGAGAATCAAGAATGATCCTTATTAGCAATAATGTCCACTAATTCACAGCGTAGACTGGGTCACCATTTTCTTAGTATACTGTGCTGTTTTGTGAATATGGAATTGATTTAAAACATTCAATAATACTAGGCCCATACCTGTTTGCTTTTTATTTGCTGCAGGTTGCTCCTGATGAGGCTAAAGATAGAGATGCCAGTGATTATAATTCACATTTTTGAGTTGACGCTAAGTGCTGAGCACAGGCCTAGACACTTTGCCTGGGCTAACTCAGTCTCACAGTGTGTAATAAAGGGGCCTTTTAAGCAGACACTGTCACTCTCCTCATGCAACATGAGGAAAATGAGGTAGAGATCGGTGCTGAGGGTGAGATGACCAGGGTCTTAAAGATTTAACCAGGCACACAATGTCCTAACCCAAGCACTCTCTAAATCAGAGTTTCCTAGCCCCATTGAAATCCAGTGCATTCTCTTGTATCACCATTAGCTTCTCTGCACAGGTATATCCAAGCTGAGCTGGATCCATCAGAGAAATTAACCAAGAAAAACAGTTTCTCATTGCATTCGATTCACAACTGTAAGTGGTCAATTGGTTCTGCTGGCATCTTAGGGCTCATCCCCTTTGTAGCTAATTACCTTTTCAAAATTGTGCCTGCATGTCAACCCAGCACGCCCGCTCCTCAGAGTATCTGTGAGTCTCCTCTGAAAACAGCTGAGCCTTTGCTGCAGTGCCAGGCGGGGCGAGACCCTCCAGTGTTCAGGACAGTGGCAGCAGGCTGTGGTAGCAGGCTCTGGTCCTGCCTCTCCCCTCCCTATTGGAACACAGTTAAGCATTTGGTGCCCAGCTGGTCTGGTTGAGACACCTCTTGCCCAGCAGCTGTTGTATATTTGGGGCTACAGCTGGCCACTTGTGCACTCAATAGAGAAGGGCATAGATTCATCCTGGAAATTGCCAGTGGGGTGGAAACTGGTGAGTGCTCTGAAAATGGGGTTTAGGAGGATTTGTCCTATGAGGGCAGAGTTTAAGGACCTCCTCATCCCTTGAATGTTGTTCGGAATTGGAAACCTCTTCAATGGAGAGTTCTTAATGGGGAAAGTTGATTTTCTGCAAACCTCCCGGATCATGCGCCGTACTGTGATTTATTTTTCTGTTTGGCTGGGATCTCACCATTTCCCCGGACTCCCTCTGACTTCTTGTTTTGCTTTTACTTCCATCTCATTTATTCATTTTTTTTTAAACTTTATTTGTGCAGTGCGTGGGATTGAACCCAGGGCCTCTAAACAAGTGCTCTACGGCTGAGCCAAATCTTGACTTTCAGGTTGAAATACAGGGCTTGGCTAAGGAGTCTAGAACAAGCCTTAGTGTGGGACAAGTCTAAGGTAAGAAGGAACATGTTTTGCATTTGCTTCAAAGACTGCAGAACTTGCTGCCTGACTGTCCCCCCCGTCACTCTTCTGCACTGCTTGCTGTTGGGTAGAGCTGGGAGGTTTTCCAGTTCCTTTGGTGTGGAGAGAATCAGGTTTCTCAATTGTGAGATGTCTTGGTTTCTGAGATGGGGAGGAGGAGGAGCCCATCTAAAAGATGCTCATGACACAGTTGGTATCACAGTGCGGGAAAGAAAGAGCAGTATTGAGTAGTGTGTCACTGCCTATGATGCCAGAGGCCGGGCTTCTATGTATTTGGGACATCCCTGGCATCACGACTACATAGCAGTTGAGGCAGGGCAGCCAGCATCCATTTCCCAATGGGCTGTGTCACATATCAGTTGGGGGATGTGTACCACTGGGCCAGATCAACCACTTCTGGAGACCAGGTGGCACCATCTTGGATGACAGACCTAGGCACATTGCCCAGCACTTAGACTGAGTAGTGTGCCCATTCAGCTGAGCAAACTGGCCCCTTACCTGGAGCTGTCATTTCTGAGTTTGGTGCCCGTCTTAGACTCAAACATATATCACCTAGGCCATTTCAAGGTTCCAGCATCCACTGGGCAGATGTTCAGGTCTGATGCAGTGGTGAGTTTCCTTAGCTCCTAATTTACCTAGAGAGAGACGAGAGACCCAGCGCATTCTGTGAAGGGAGAGGAGCTTAGAGGACTGCTGCGAACTGTAAGGGACACACTCTTCAGAGTTAGCCTGTTGGCGCTCTTCCTGTCCCGCCTCATCCTCTGTGTGTCTCTTCCTTCCCATTCTCTACTTTTTCAGGATTTAACATTTTACCATTTTAACATTTTAGACTGGTCAAGGCAAATAGCTGAACAATCACTATTTTTTTTTTTTCTGGGAAAAATTAGAAGGCAAAGGAGGAAGACAGAGAGTTGAATGTTTAGACAGTATTTGGTCAGGTGTGGCCTGGGGGAGAGCCACTGGGCCACTGTGTAATCATGACAAGGTGCTCAGAAGCAGGGGTTCTAACTTGCCATCTGTCACTAGCCAACCTTGGAACTCTAGGAGCCCTCATCTTCTTATCTGTTGGTCACAGAGATGGCTTTTCAAGGTTCCTTCCTGTTTTGGAACTCAGAAACTCCCAAGATGCCTGGGGTCAATTCTCTCCTTTCTGGTAGAGTCTCTTCCTATGGACCAGGTCCATTACCTGTTTAACTTATGTTTTGCCATCTTACGGGAAACATTGCATCTCTTTGCCCTTTAGAGGAGAACAGTTATAGCTGATTCCTTCGCGCAAGCCACTGTTCATCAGGGAATGGTGCATATAAAACCCAGTCTGCACACTTGCAAAATTTACAAACTTTTCTGTATTCCATGATTCATGACTGTCTGTAACCAATGATAGTCAGATATCCTTATTGTCTCATATCAATAGGGAAGCATATGGTATACGTCCCCGCCAGGGAGAAATGTGGGTTGATAACAGTGTTTTCCCATTTGTGTAGAGGATTTTTACCAGCTAGATTTGGATGCATCGTGAACATTTATGGCTGTTAATGGGCAAGTGAACAGATAAGAAAGCAGTGGGACCAGTAATTACTGGGTGAATTACCGCATTTCCCACTATTGTTACAAAATTCCTTGGGTTAATCTGTAAAGAAAAGAAGTTTATTTAGCTCCATTTTAGAGGTGCGAGAGCATGGCACTGTCAGCTGCTGGCTATCAGCAGGGCCTTTGGGCTCGCAGCATCTCAGTGGGAATGTGTGTAAGAGAGAGGGATCACACAGAGAGACAAGAAGGTAGAGGGAGTTAGGTGCCAGGCACACTTTTTCCTACATTAAACCTTCCCAAGGCTGATGCTCTCAATGACTTTGTAAGCTTCCATTAGGCTCCATCTCTAAAGTTTCCCCCACCCCCATCATTGCCCTGTTAGGGACCGAGTTTCCCACAGAGAAGCCCTTGGGAAACCATGTGTAAACCACAGTGCAAAGCTCTGCGTCTGAGCTGTGTGTGTGATTTCTTTGTCCCCCTTAAGTCAGTCATACTCCCAGAAGTCTCTAAACTCCTTTAGACATGGACATCATCTTCAAGACCTTGCTCAGTTTCATCTTGTTATCATTCTTCACCTCGTCATGGTTTTCAAGTACAGACAAAGCTGCTCACTTGAGTCAGTGACAGTGAACTGAGAACAGTTCTAAGCTGGAACTGACTAAGCGAGGGCCTGGGAGGAGATGTGGACCCAGCCCCTCTCTGGGCCTTGCATGGGACAGACAGTATTAATTTGTGGCATGGTTCATTCTGCCCCATGCCTCTCAGCAAAGATTTGGGCCCAAAGTATTCATTTTTAGGGTTTAGGATATTTGTTAGGTCTTTTTGCATGTTTGAACGACAGCTATTTATGAGATTAAAGACTCCAAGACAAAACCAAACCAAACCAAACCCAACCCAAACCTTGAAGCCTCTGTGCCACATCCTACCTGGCCATCTTTTCCATGTCAGACTCATTCATCTGTTCCTTATTGAAAACTCTGTCTCCTTTATCCATAAGACCGTGGAGCTGTCTCATCCCAATACTGCTGTCATTATCCTCCCTTCTATTGCCACCATTATTTAATTATTGTTTATGGAAATACCTATCGTGCTTTCCAGCAATTGCGATTCTGATTTAACAAGACCTGCCTGTCCCGAAATGTTCAGTGGCGAAGCTGGGCAGCTTGGGAAGCTCTCTGTTTTAAACTGGATATCAGTACCCCAGCATCTTGCCAGTTGCCCCGGAGCTGTCTCTTGGCCCAGGGGCAGCGAGTCACCCGCTCCGGGCTCTCAGCATCCCGGCTTTGAAAGGGCCAGGTAATTGGAGAGCGGGCCTAGGAGCTGTGGGCCCCACAGACTGACTTAGCACAATGCAGCAGAGAGAGAGACTGTTTTCAAAGAAGCGGAGCTGATGAGGGCATGCGGACTCTTGCCTGCTTCTGGGATAGGGGACCCTGCTGGGTGAGCGGGGGAGGGTGTGCACTGCTGTCTGTTTAGTCACCTCATTATAAAAGAGCCTCCTAAGCAGGCCTTTAATTTAAAATTTTTTTAAAAAATAGGTATCAGCTGTAAAGACCTAGTTATGCACGGTCACCTCCTACCTCTGGCACAACTAACTAATCTGCTGGCACAATTTCCCAGCCTTCAAGGCCCGCCTGCCTAGGAGAAGCCTGGTAGGGGTGTGCTCCCAGTGTGGTCATGGTAGACTCTCGGTAGCTGATTTGCCAGTTAGCTAATTATCCGAGACAGACACATGATAAGCTCTTTGAATGTTCCCTATTTCTTGAGACTTCAGTCTTTTGCTGCATGCAGGGTGGCTGAAGTCTCCTGGGCTCTGCCGCGCACCTGGCAGAGGAGGAACTGGTGCTGGAGGAGAGGGAGTGGCTCTGCCCTGCGGGTTTCCTGTGGCTCAGAGTCCCCGGCAGGACCTCAGGAGCACCTGGCTTCTTGCTCTGCGTGATGCATGTCTTCTCTGTCCCCTTCTGCTCCCAAGGATGTTAACGCAGGCGAAGGCAGCGAGTTTGCAGACAGTGGGATTGAAGGGGCTGCCACCGACACGGACCTCCTGTCCAGGCGCTCGAATGCCACTAACTCCAGCTACTCGCCCCCCACGGGCCGGGCCTTTGTGGGCAGCGACAGTGGCAGCAGCTCCACAGGGGATGCGGCTCGCCAGGGGGTGTACGAGAACTTCCGGAGGGAGCTGGAGATGAGCACCAACAGCGAGAGCTTGGAGGAGGCGGGCTCCGCGCACAGTGACGAGCAGAGCAGCGGCACCCTGAGCTCGCCCGGCCAGTCCGACATCCTGCTGACAGCTGCGCAGGGCACGGTGCGCAAGGCCGGGGCGCTGGCCGTCAAGAACTTCCTGGTGCACAAGAAGAACAAGAAGGTGGAGTCAGCCACCCGGAGGAAGTGGAAGCACTACTGGGTGTCCCTGAAAGGTGAGGGTGGTGCTCTGCAAGTGCAGATGCGTGCAAGGATGCGCAGTACCCACACCGTGGGGTTTTTTCCCCTCGTGAGCGCATAGAGTTGTTTCACATAGTTTTTTAAACCTTTATTGTGCTGGGAGCACTTATCATAAAATGTACTCCTGACACATTTGGAAACGTGTTGTACTAAGGTGCACTGTCCAGGGGTCAGAGCTGTAAAACTTAGTCATCTGACTTAGCCTGAACTCTGTGCTCCTTAATTCCCCGGGAAGTCTCCCACTCCTTGCAAATGCTGTTTTATTTTTGTACGGTTTTTTTTTTTTAAATAGATTAAGCAAGAAGAGTGTGTCATTGTCTGTTTCCTCATACATACAACTAGTTCTGTGGATAGTTTTGAAGGACAAAGTTTCCTTCAAAAAAATTCTTTTCCCCCCAAACTATTTTAAGTTTATGCCTCCCAAAGTGGCTGGTAAGAAGTTAAAAATTAGGTTAGGTCCTATGAAGTTACCACTTTCTAAGAATAAAAATTGATAGAGTATCCCTAATGTCATAGGACTCAAGCTAATATGGGAGGAATGTCTAAACCATCATATTTGTGCAAAAGTTGGTTCCAGAAATCAAACTCATGACCTCACACTTGCCAGGCAGGTGTGTGTGCTGCTGAGCTAAATCCCTGGCTGCTTGGTATTTTATAGTGAAACTGTATATTTGAGTATGATACAGACAGTTTCATACATACAGGTACCTATAGCTGTGCTTTGTTACTGTTTAAGCACACTGCTTTTGATGTTGCTATTCGTTGTCATGTTGCATCCATTTGTGAAGTATGTGTATTCTGCACATACCTTCAAGTGTCTCTGTAGTAGAAACAATTGTGTTTCATTTGTCAGCTCTGCCTTTTGAAAAGAAGATATACTTTGGAAGCACATTAAGAGTTTTTGTTGCAGCACAGATTTGAACCAGGGTTGGTATAGGGCAGGAGGAGTTAGGTTCACAAGATCAAAGCGAGGGTATAGGGGAAAAAGCCTAGGCTGACCAGGTTGGTAAGGATATAAGACCATTTACGTGACACTGGATGTCACTGAGGTTGGTCGTGGAGGCACGAAAGAGTCCAGAGCTCAGATAATCACAGGCCTGAGCAGGGATGTGCAGGCTACCCACCTGGGACAAGCAGAGCTTGGGTGGACCCCATTACTGGGGCTACCAGATGTTGCTTTGCTGTTTGTTGAAACAGGAAGGGAGCATATTGCTTAGAATGTAGATTTTGCTACATGTCACAGAAACCCAGAATGAGGATAAGAACTGAAGCGGGCAGGATTACCACCTAAGACTGCACCATCCCCAGAATATGACTGTTTGATGAAGTGGTCTGGATTACGCAGCGTGGATAGTTTACCCAGTGTGCATGCTTTGGAGAACTGTGACTGTTCTTTTTATGTGTGACCTGCCTTGATTTAATTTTGATGGCTATTTCAGAGCCAGCTGCTCCATTCATGTGGGGTACAATGAGATGTGGGGGGAAATCTCGTTCAGCCCCTCTTGTACCTGTTCTAGATGTGCATACCACTGGAGATGGCACCTCATTCCTGGAGCAGTTCATCCTTAAGCGTTCATCGTACTAATTGGTACTGAGTTTTGAACAGTCTAATTTGAAGATACCTGTGTTAACAGCCACTTAGATTACTTTCCTGGGTGTATTTTGTGTCTGTGAAATCCCAGGTTTGTTTCCATTTGGTAGGACTGCCATGACAAAGTACCACAGAGTGGATGTTGCAAATAATAACAGGAATTTACCGTCTCTCAGTTGTGGAGGCTAAAAATCTGGGACTGAGGAATTGGTAAGAGTGGTTTCTCCTGAAACCTTTCCTTTTCTTGGAGATGCCCATTTGCTTGTGGTTTCCCTCTGTATTGGTCAAATTTCATCTTTTTGTCAGGACAGAGGTCAGAGGAGATTTAGGTCTACCTAGGGCACCTCTCTTTAATTGCCTCTTTAAAGGCTATATCTACAAATACGATCCTATCTAAAATAGTGGCAGCTGGGACTTTAACATAGGAATTTTGAGGGGATACAGTGCACTGGTAACAGGCCCTGAATTTGTAGTTTAACTAATAGAATAAAAATAGTTAGGTGACTTTTTGTTTTAAACTTTGGACATTGCAGAGGGAGTTATTTTATTTCTGCGGTTTCCTTAGAGAATCATTGACACAGGAGCCTAGGGCACAGGCATTTGGGAGCACAAGCCATGCGCCCATTCCAGGAGGGAGCCTTCATGCTCTTGGTGACCCAGATCTGAGTGACACCATCTGTCAGGATGCAGCCCCAGAATGCGCAGGCACTGAGCCCTTTGCTTCCTGAACCTGACAGGTTCCAATTATACGCTGACATCCTCGGGGCTTTGCATTGCCACTCAAAAGCAAGACTTGTTGCTGGCTTTTTCTGTAACCCTTGGATAGCGAGAAAGCAAAAGCACAACACCTGGGAACCATGGGATAGAGACTTTCTCAAAGATTCTTTCACATAAGATAAAAACTAATTTTCAAAAGGATTTCACCTAGAGTTAATCTCTCAAGTGACTTCATGAACAACCGAAGGACCTAGAGATGATCTTCCAGTGCAGATAAGGGGAAGTAGTGTTTGATCAGGGAGTGTGTGGTTCTTAGATTTGCTGCTTCACATTAGCCTTAAAATTGGAACAAGTTAATAATTGAGTAAAAGCCAGTTTCAGCCACCTACTGTTGTAGGCTGATTCCAAAGCAAAATTAAAAAACTCAAAAAGCAGCAGCTATTTGCAAAGACCATACAGTGTCCATACCAGGCTTAGCGGGTGCCCCTAAGTCCTTAGGCACAGGCTGCTTTCTCTGTGCTTAGTCTGTGGTAAAGTCTGTTCCTCCTTTTATGTTAAAATCTACAGATCATCAGTGTCATTTTACTCATAAAGACTTAGAACTGCATTTCTCAATAGTGGCACCAGTGACATTTTCCAGATAATTCTTTGTTGTAGAGAGCTGTGCTGGGTATTAATAAATACTTAGCAGCTTCCTTTATGTTATTCAGCCTTCTGTCACTATAACAAAGTATCAGAGAGTATCAGTTTATAAATGGGCAAGATTTTCTCTTTCTTTCTTTCTTTCTTTCTTTCTTTCTTTCTTTCTTTCTTTCTTTCTCTTTCTTTCTTTGACAGGGTCTCACTATGTAGTTCAGGCTGGCCTTGGGCTCATTTTGTAGCCCAGGCTGGTCTTGAACTTGCAAATGATTCTCCTGTCTCAGTCTCCCAAGGGCTGGGCAAGGTTTAACTTGGCTCACACTTTTGAAAAATTTCAGCCCATGGTTAGTTGGCTCTGTTGGTTTGTGGAAACACATCATGGTGGGAGTGTGTGGTCCAACATGAGTGCTTATTTCATGCTAGGAGCAAAAAAGGGGAGGAAGAAGACAGAACAAGGGTCCTATTCTCCCCTTCGAGACCACACCCTCTATCTGAGCTCCTGCTGGGCTCACCTCTAAAGGGTCACCATCTTCTAATAGCAGCAGCCCCAGTGATCTAGCCTGCCACACCTGGGCTTTGGGGAGACATTTAGGTCTCAACTACAGTGCCTGTCCTCACCCACTGCATGCCACTAGCACCTCTCCCTTAGTTGGGACAACTAAAATTGTCTGCAGACAGTTCATATTGCTGTACCATGAGAACCTTTGATTAGGGGAAAATAATGACTTCTTTCCATTTTTGTTTTCTTCTGTTTAATTGCTGCTACTATGAAGCATGGCAAAGGGAGATACAGATGATTTTGTTCTTTGATGTAAATGTTCTTGAAAAACCTTGAAGTTTATAATGAAATGTTCCTGAAAAACCTTCAAACTCATAAGAGTAGGCCAGGCATGATGACACACTCCTATGATCCCAGTACTTGGGAGACTGAAACAGGAGGATTGTGGATTTGGGGCCAGCCTGGGCTGTCTTGTGGGTTCAAGGCCAGCCCTAGATTATTTAGTGAGACACTGTCTCAATCCCCCTTCAACCCCTAGTTGCAGGGATTATGTTAAAAACAGACTCAAGGCAGAATATCAGTGTGTATTTATATGTAAGTTATTTTTAAACCCAAACTTACAAAAGAACCCCGTGCAAACTTTACTAAAAATTTACAAGTGTCGTAAAGTTTTGTCTTTTAAAAATGCATTTGCAGAGGATATCCTCCTTTCAAAACAAAGTGAATATAAGTTGAATGGGTAGAAAATAACTGAGATTCCTGAATTATGGAGACAGGGACAGTGAGTACCTTGTCGAAAGGTTTAGGAGCACAGCCCCTTGAGGAGTTCTCCGCAAAGCTCTTGACTAAGCTGTGCCAACAGGAGAAAAATGGGAAATGAGAAATATACCAGGGTGCTCCGTTCAGCTGTGTTAGGGATGTTGCATTTAGCGAGTGTTACATGGTAACTTGGAAGTATGACCAGCGAGGGGACATGGCTTTTGAGCACTGTGACCTTTCTGTTGAGCTGCATCATTCTATAGTACTTTCTGCCACTGAGTTATTTTTCTTTCTCGACTTCTGTTTTAACTAAATAGATTGTACTTTCAGGGGCTTTGTAATCCATGGAAACTGTGGTACTGGGTTGCAGTAAAGAAGATGCTGAGTAGCTTATATTGAAGTTGAGGAAGAAGAATAGAGTGATACTCAGACTTCCCAAGTCAGTTTTGATTGGTGTTCAAGTAGTCATTGCTATGAAAGTGAGTTTATAGTTACTAGGAAACATTGCTAGTGTCCCATTAGTTTCACAGTGTAATGAAGTATTAAGATTCTGGCTTCCCCTAGACCTGCTATATGGGTCATACATTTCCTCTTTCAGAAGAAACCAGGATGTGGTTTATTTCTAAGGGGAAAAAAGAACTGTACAGATAAAATCTGAGACCAAAAATATATCATTTCTTGTTCTGCACACACCTGAAGACTGTGTCATATGTTGTTTTCACCAAGGGTGTGGTCCACAAACTCTGTCCATTCTCCAAAGTTCCTTGGTTACACATCTTTGTGAGACGTAGTGGGAAGGGACTGCAAAGTCACAGTGTGACCACAGCCTTACACGACGCTGAGCATCTGAACCCTGGTCTCGTAGAACCCATGGAACCATGTTTGGACTCACTGCCAAGCAAACCAGATGCAAGACCTGGTCCATCTGTGTGAAGATAAGCATCCCACACAGAATACTTTATAACAAAGCATCCTCACATAGAAAGTAAGGATCCTAAAGAACTTGAGGGCATGCATAAAGGAATGCATTTTCCTCTCACTGGGATAAAACATCCAACATCAGCAATTTAAAGAGTTTTATTTTAGACTTTTTTTTTTTTTTTTCAGAAGGTCTCATCCAGTCAGCTGGCTTTAAGTCAGAAATGGTGTGGTGCCAAGACACGGAAGGAGAAAGCTTTACCCCATGGCAGATGGGAAGCAGAGGGAGCGCGTGGGTGGGGGACATACCACACCCTTCCAAGTGACCCACCTCCGGCCAGGCCATACCTCTTCGCAGGGTGTTCAGCTGTAAACGCAGCAATGGATCAATGCAGTGATGAGTATCAGCCCCCTTGAGAAGCCCCTCTCTGAACACTTAGAACTTTGGGGTGACATTTGGGATCTAAACAATAATAGACCGCTTTGCTAATTTAGAACCTGTGATTTCAGAGCTTTCCCTTTCTGGGCAAATCCAAGAGTTTAGGGCAGACGTGACCCCATTGTCCGTATTTCCGGCGCCCTATGTGCTTTCCCTTCCGGCCAGTTATTATTGGCAAAGTCCCAGATGCTCATTGGTGCAGGTGAAGTGGTGAACGCTGAGCCCTATTCTGTCTCCGCAGGATGCACGCTCTTCTTCTATGAGAGCGATGGCAGGTCTGGGATTGACCACAACAGCATCCCCAAGCATGCCGTGTGGGTGGAGAACAGCATTGTGCAGGCCGTGCCTGAGCACCCCAAGAAGGACTTCGTCTTCTGCCTCAGCAATTCACTGGGCGATGCCTTCCTCTTTCAGGTTTGTTGGGCGCTTCGTTTGTAGGGTGTTTCTAACCTTTGAATGAGACAGCAGCCCCTCTTGTTTTAGTACCCTGCCTTTTTGTTGTTGTTGTTGTTTTTTCATATGAATGGTGGGATTTATCTATTGCTCATTAGAGACCCCAAAATAGTGAACAACAAAATAAACATCTGGAATAAACACCAGGAAGGAGAGACCTCTCCCAGAGGGCTTCAGGGTGGGAGCCCCAGTGGAGTTGTGAGTTGGATGTGAAAAAATGACTCTGTTTGCTGTGGGTGGAAGGATTTCTTAGTGTAGTTTCACTTCTATTTGTGTAGCACTTTAGAAAGGGATCACGAGGTCCTTAATTTAGACATGTCTTGAGCTGTCAAAAATTTTTTATCATAGTATGTTCCCTTCTAATATTAATCACAAAGTAAAATAAGAACATCCCAGAAATTACTGACTGTCCCTACATGGTTACTTCTTTTCATCTCATTAGAACTTTTTACCTAGAATTTTTAAAGTTTGACTAGTAATTGATTTAAAAAAATACTTCCTTGCTTCAGGGAAACTGACAGCAAATGTTTTGAACTTGATCAGTTGTACTGTATCCTGCAAGAACTTCTTGTGGTTTTAGTTAGGAAGGCTTTTTTCATTTATTCCATTAATGAATTAGTTCCTTTCACCTTTATTCCATGCTCTGTATTCCATGCACACACTCTGTTTTCTTAAGAATGCCTTTTGACATAGTTTGTACTTTAAAAAATATTCACATAATAATAGGGGGACAAGGCCATGCAGTGAATATTAGGGAAGAAAAAGAATATGAATGGACAGCGAAAACTTTCTGTGCAAGAAAAGAGTCAAAACAAACATAGGGAAGAGAAATTGTTTATTGTGGCTTTGGCCACAACTGCTTGGGTAATTTGGTATAAACTGGTAATTTTGTTTGTTTAAACATGAGCACCTGCTTTTTAAAATTTGTGAGTAGAACATACACAAAAAAGAGGGCCTAAAACACAGACTAACTGTTCAGGGAGCTGTCCTGAAGTAAATATGGAACCATCACCCATGGAAATTTCAGGCACGGTGTAAGAACCTTCCACCCACCAGTACACACATTTGTCTATTCACTGAATAGAATGAACATGACTTTCATCATCCAAGTTAGGACATTATTTTTCTGGGCATGACTTAATTTCTTCTGCTTTTTGAAGGATATTTTGGCTGGCTACAGTATTTTTAATTTGATAGTCTTACTCATTTCTTTAAATATGCCATCCCATTGTTTTCCAGCCACCATCGTTGCAATGAGAAATTAGTTGTTAATCATATTAGGAGCCTGTTTATATATGAATTGTTTTGCTGCTTTGAAGGTTTTGTTTTGTCTCTACATAGCTGGATTATGTTGGATAGAGGAATGAATCTGAATTTATTCTACTTGCTTCTTTGCCTGCTGCTTTTTTTTTATTTAGAGAAAGATAAAACGGAATAGAAAATGGGCAGAAATAGTACATACTTTTAAAGAAAAGAAATAAACAGTGATAAATCACTAGTTGATGTATACATATTGTCCGCCCACAAATAATTGTTCAAGATACAAAAGTGGAACATATAAATGAAAATTCAACCAGGAGACTGCAAACCATTCTGTTCAACTATCCAACAAAAACTAAGTAATATGCGTATCAGTCCTATACACTTAGACATGTACGCATTTATCCATATCTTCATTTATGTTGAGAGCTAACAAAATTCATTAGATTAAAATCTTTCTGAACAAAGATTAATAATATTGCTGGATTTCACATCATAACACTCCAGTATCAGCACTGGGTACTGCAGTGCCCCTGTCTTTCCTTCAAAGTATTTATTCATTTCATCATGTGTCATAAGATCAGTTCTCATAAACTGTTTATAGGTTTTATGCAAGCATGAGTCTTAACATGTATTTCTATCCTTTCTATATTAGAAGGAGAAACAGACCAAAGCAGGACAGAGCTAAACATATTTCTATAGACATATAAAACTAAAAAGACATATAAAACTGCTGTGTAAGGAGTTCTACCATGGTTACTGTGCTGTTTCTTGTTATCATCAACCAAATTGGTTGTACCATCAGATAAAGTATAATTGAATATATCACTACTTAACAGAATTAACAGAAATACAACTTTGTAGGTAGTGTAGAGCTACAAAAACAGGTAGTAATCAAATCAGAATGGATATCGTAGTGAATCATTGTCATTTTCAGTATAGTTGTCTATACTTCTCAATTGATAACAGCAACCTAACAGTTTTGAATAAAGTCTGTCAATAATAAGCAGTATTCAAACAAGTCAGATTTAACAAAGATCAGTCATGGTGCCTTTTGCTTCTTGAATGTGTAGGTTTGTGTGTGTGTGTGTGTGTGTGTGTGGTGAGATGTCACTCTTCTATTTTAGTTCTTTAGACATAATGTCTTTTATTTTATTTTTTGAAATTATTTATTTATTTTGGTGTCATGACTTGAACTCAGGACCTTGTGCTTGCCAGGCAGGCGCTGTGCCACTGAGCTATATCCTCAGCCCAACATGATGTCTTTCAGTTCTCTGAATATATCCAAAATAGTTGACTTAAAGTCTTTATCTGGCATGCTCCAAATCTGGGTCAACACCCAAGGAACTGTCCGTAGGGACTGTTTCTATCGATGTATCATTTCCTGTGTATAAACTGTCCTTTACCGTTTCTTTGTATGTCTCATGCTTTTCTGTAGAAATTGCACATTTTAAGTACTAGAAAGTGGTGACTTACATAGTGACTGCTTTCTTTGTGGGATTGCTTCACGTCCATGACACATTTTAACGCTTTGTGTGCTCCTTTCCTCCTCTCTTATCTCTTGATTTCCTTCCCATTTTCAGATCTATCTTAAAAGTGTGTTTTGCTGTAGAGAAACTTTATTTTGGTGCCCTGTTATTCCTCAAGTTTTCCCTAACAGGTCATACTTTATGTATCCTATTTTTAGAATGTGCATGATCCAAGGTCATGAAAATAATCCTTTTGTGTACCTTACAAATTGTTGGTTTCCTTGCTTTTGTAAAGAACTGACTTTTTGGAGGTCTTAATTCCCCCATTGAAGCTGATGGCATTTACAAGGAACTTTAGAGACGTGACACTCTGAATATTCATGCCTGGATAACAGGTACAAGCTGAGACAGTCACAAGCCAACTGGCACATGTGGCAGCCTTCCTTCCCATGGGTACTTTCGGCTTGTTTTAGGTTGGAGGAACCATGAGCAATACTGCTGTGAGCAGTCTTGTACCTACTCTCAGGGTACGTTTGTCCACATTTCTGCTGGGTGTGTGCCTGGGAATTGCATTACTGGATCAGAGTCTAGGCACATGTTCAGGTTTACTAAATGATTGTCAAACCATTTCCAAAACGATTAAAATAATTTATACTTCTTTCAGCAGCCTAGGAGAATTCTACTTGTTCCATATCCCTGACAGCAGTTAGTATTATCAGGTCTTGTTTTTTCCTTCCAAGCTTTTAGTGTGATATTCTGCAGATTTACTTGTGTTAGTATCGTTAACTTTGGTGAAGTACTTTTCTCCATTGAGTCATGATTAATGGTGGTTCTTTACATATTTTTATATCCTCTCATTATATTCATTGCAAGTTTCTTTTTTCAGTCTGTGCTCTCTTGTGTGTGGTGAAACTTTTATTTTAGTGATGTCTTACTTCTCAAGTATTCCCTAGTAGATCCTTTATGTATTTTAAAATGCGCATGGTCCAAGACCATGACAATATTCTTCTGTGTACCTTGTAACCTGTTGTTTTTCTGCATTTGGCCCAGCTTCGCATCCATGAATTGAAAATTTTGCAAACAAGGACAGACCTGTCTACTTGAGCAGCAGCAGCGCTGTGGTGGCCTCAGCAGCTGCTCTGTGCTCTCCCTCGCTGCATGCCACCACCGTGAAAGTGTCCCACAGTGTGACTCACGTTGATTCTCAGAACTGTGGTGACTTAGATTGTGTATCCACATTTTACCATAGTGATGTGGATTATGTACCCCACTTGGTGACCCTGAGGTTTACAAAGACAGGACAAATGGTGAGTCACACAGTTACAGTATGTCAGGATTGGGTTGAATCCTCTCCTTTCCCAAGCTGTCCTTCTGTCTGAGATATTCTTTATCTTGCTAGTGTTGCTGTTGATTCTGGGAAGGATGTGGACAAGAATCAGAGGGTATAACTAAAAAGCGACCGATTTTTTTCTCATCTTTTAAAGTAAACCACTAGTTGGAAATATTTCCAAATAAAAATCTGATTTTGGCCATTTTTTGCAAAATTTGCAACCTGTAGTGAGGAGGCCAAAAACATACAGGTCATATGATTATTTGACCCCACCCCCACCCCTTTACTCACCTCCGGTAGGAATTCCTTTTCAAAGGACTTTCAGGGCTATAAAATTGCTCGTAAGAATCTAAATATCCAATAGGTCACATTGTGTAGAACTCTTTTGTGGCGACATAAGACCTTATTCAAGGAAACCTCTATGTCTTCTCGTTATGGGAAATTTTTGTGCTACTTATGTGGGATAAAGCACAAAATAACCTTTTCAGAGGAAATTACTGCTGTTTGGGATCCATGAAGGCATGTTCTGCCTTCTACTTATTGTAATCCACATAACTCTAGAGGGGCCGAATTTGAAAGAAACCTGTGTGTGTAGGGGGTGAGGTTAAAGAAGAGAGATCAACCGTGTTATGGAAATAATTTGTAGGTTATTTCAGCCCCGGGGCTCAATTCAGCGTGCAGTTTTCAGAGCCTGTGTGCTGCCGGTTTGATGCTGTTGTTCAGATACCCACAGATTTGTCCCTGGAAAGGAGGAGGTTCATGTTCCCAGCAGAAGTAGAAAAGGGGTTTTGTATGTAGGCTGGGGGTGGGAATCAGCCTGAACGTTGGAGCAACGCATGGAGAACAAGTTTTATGCTGTCTGGGGAGAGTGGAGCTGTAGCTCCTGCACTGAAACCAAAGAA